GCGGGGGGAGGGCTGAGGAGGATCAGGGGTGTGTGTGTGTGTGTGTGTGTGTGTGTGTGTGTGTGTGTGTGTGTGTGCTGTAACCAATACCTCTGTAAGTGAGGCCACTCAGTGATGGGGTGGGTGCTGCTGATGGTAGACCCCTGACTGTTGTACGCAGGTCTGATCACAAACACACACATGCAGGAGGTTATAAATAATAAACACAAGCTCATTAAGGCACAACAGTTTCACAATGGACACCATCCACATCTGAGCAAACGCGCTCGGCATGGGGCACGGCAAAACAAACGCACATTCCTTCATGGGTTTAGGAATTTTCTCAGCCCACAGCAGCGGTGTGTTTCCTAATAAAGGCTGCAACATGAGCGAGCTGCTGTTTATAAAGAGTCAGAGGACTCTGTGGGAACAGGACTGATCTTTGGATCATGTCCAGATAAACAGAAGCTTTTCAGAAGTCTGCGCACACAAACATCAAATGTGTGGTCACAGTTCTCACATTCCTTAATTGTTTAAAAGCAAAAGACATTAAACTTATTTCACTGGAATAAAGGCAAGGACAGATTCCTGTGTCAGGCTGAACTAGTTTCAAAACTAGTTCTTTACAATAACAGGAAAAAAACTACTTCTGGGATTTTCCCTTCTTTCTCAGCAATACAATCCTGATTCTTGTACTAAATTAAGGATGGGCAACTGGTGACTCGCAGGCCACGTCTGACCCATGGGTGACTTCCATCTAGCCCGCCAATGAGACCCTGCGCTGCTTTATTTAAAGCACTCAAAGCAGCTCTTAGATTTTTGAAAAATACAAAAACGCATATACGGTGTCTCAGTGGCACTAAATTGGTTGTAATGATGATGTTTGCCACTAGATGGCGCCTCCAATGCAGATGCCACTTTGCGTACGGGAAGAGACATTTAGCCATGGGTAAGAACGAAGGAAAGAAAACTGGACAGAGAAAATTGCATGTTTCAGGTGAAATTGGAGGTAGACTGGAAGAGAATTTCAAAACAAACACTGTCTGCCATGAAGGATTTTAATATAAGTCACCGCTGCAACACGTCGCACAAAGCTAAATATGAGAAGTTCATGAAATCGCAGAGACCTTTTAACAGAACCAGAACCACGTAGAAGTCTGCACTCACTGTGTCTTATTCAGCTCACTGTTTATTTTTTGTTGCTTTAAATTTTTTGTATTCATATTTATTAAAGGGTCTATATCATGTAAAATCAACTTTTTTGAGTTTTATATCATGTTATAATGTTATCCTCTCATCAAAACATGCCCAGAGTCTTATTTTGACTCATTCATGCCTGTTTGAGAAATCCTGTAGTGTCCTGAGGCAGCCAGGCAGGGGAGCAAAAACAACAGGTTGGGGCTAGAACCACCTTTTGGGACCAGTTCCGCCTCTGGGCTGTGTCTCCAAGCCGCGCTTCCTCATCACGGAGCACACCACCCCCTCCACTTCCCGCCCATAATTCCTGCAAGATCTCAGCAGTAACAAAGCAAACAACTGGTGAAACTGAAAGTGAAACTAAAACTGTCTACTGAGCTCCTGACACTACTTCTCACTCAGTGAAGCTCTTTTMAGWWTCAAAATACCTTTGAGGAAATGTATTTTCAGATGCCAAGTAAACTGCACATCATAGTGCGCGCACGCAAAAACCCCTCACGCTGAAATGGGTGGGACAGAAGCGGAAGGTGGTTCTTAAAGAGACAGAGGCTAATTTCAAGGCGTTTAGAAGAGGAAATGATGAGAAGATATGTTTATTTTCTATTAAACATAAAAACAGCATTTTAATAACAACTAAAGGTGACATAGATACTTTATTATGGTATAGTATTTAAATGTATGCCTGAGAAACTCATAATATTGGCCCTTTAAACAAAAGCGACAGTTATACATGTATTTGAGCATGAAATATGTTAAGTTACTGCACTGTATGTTGGTTTAATAAACATTTATTTATTTATTTATTTATTTATTTATTTATTTATTTATTTATTTATTTATTTATTTATTTATTTATTTAGTGTTATTACATTTGTGTGCAGCCCTATGTGGCCCTCAACTAATATTTTGGCCCCTTCCATCATTTAAACTGTCCTCCCGACCCAAATAATCATCCTGTGAGGGACATAAATACCTGCAGGAATACTCTCAGATTGTCTGGACCAGATTGGATTTCATTAACAGAAAGCTCTTAGTTTCTGTTAAACCCAAACAGTTTTGGTAAATAACCCCATTAGTTAGTGGCAATGGCACTTTCCTTTTGGAATGAAAAAATGAATCCATAACTAAATAAACAGAGTGGCAGCTGAGGTAAGCTGACTTCCTCAGAAAAAGGAAGAAGTGACTGACACACCTGCTGCTGTCCCCCTCCTTCTCATCATCTGAGCTCAGGTCGATGGTAAACATGTCTTCATCCTCTGAAAACTCCTCTCCGCTCTCCTCCCTCCTCCCTCCTGGTCCTCCCCCTCCATCTGCTGGCCTTGCTTTCCTCCTCCTCTTCCTTCTCTTCTTGCTCGCTCCTCCATCCCCCTGCTGCGCCCCCAGGTTCTGGACAGGAAGTGGGCTGCAAGGGATGTTGTCTGTGTGATAAAAAAAAAAATTCAACATAAATATTGCTCCTGAAGCACAAAGTCAAGACTTAATTATTTTTTTAGGTGATAAGAAGTGACCTCTACCTATCTGAGACTGCATTAACTCCTCCCCCACTGACAAGATGGGTGACGTCGCGAGGTAGGATGGAACCACTTCCTGTTGACAGAGGGACATTTATTAAACATATGAGGTCTTTACTAAGTTAAAAAATTATCTATGGCTGTATAATTTTTCCATTATAAAATTAATTAATTTAATTAATTAATTTTTACTTTAGAAGAGATATTTCAGAGCGCATGTTGTGCTTTTATTGTTTTCATAAAATACAAGGCAATGATGACAAAATGTTTTACTAAATCCTCCAGCATTACTCATGTTCACCTTCTAACAGCCTGGCATAATGTCTGCTTTGTTAATAATTTGACAAAAACTGAGCAGCTGCCTCCTGCTCCTAGATTATAATCTGGTTGATAAACACAGATGGGGCCTATTATCGTTAATGTATCTGATGATGGTTTTGTTAAATATGTACAAGAACTCCGAACCAGATTTTTCACTTCCTGATGCGACAGATGTTTTTTTTTTTGCATTAAGTGCTTCTAAATAATCTGAATTAAGGTTTAAATGCAGATTATCTGATCTGCTTATCAGAGCGATAACGCTGTAAGAAATAAAAAGGAGACGGGAGGAGTGTGAGGGGCAGCAAACAAAAGGTGCAGATTCACACGCGCTCTGACGTGCACGTCACTCAACCCGGTCCCGTTCGTGTAGAGAGGAGAGGGAAAGGAGCTGTGCTCAGAGTGACAATGAGTCAAGGTCACAGCACATCTGTTCTGAGCTCTGCCCTTCCTGAGAACATCCGCCACAAAAACCAATTAGAGCTCATGTATCTGAATCGGTGCTAATCTTTAATCTCAACGCTCGTCTCAGAACTATTAGACCTCTTCCGCAGCAAACTGAGTTATTGAAAAAAAGCTGAATTTGCAAACCAAGTGGATTAAGTAAACTTGATTTCTTTTTCATAAAGCAGACAAACATTACATTTTTCTTACATAAGAATAGCATCATGATGTAACATCTAATAATATTAAATTGAACAATGAGGGAAAAAAACATTTCAAGTGTTTTTATTCTGTATAACTGGTCCTACTGAATGAATGTTGTTTTATTAGTAAAGTGATAAGACAAACGTTTAAAGAAAAAAATTATTGCCTTTAAGATGTTGCTACACACGTGGAGATTAAATAAATGAGCTGAGATTTTTCTTTTTACAGCAGGTACTGAACATGCCTGCTGCTGGTAATCTAAACATGAGAACTAGGGGTCGACCGATACATCGGCCGGCCGATATTTTTGGCCGATATTTGCGTTTTTTTCCATCGGTATTGGCCGATTCGTCCGTCCGCTCGGCTGATCCATTCTTTGGGTCACTCGATAGACAGTTGCCGACCCTCCCTTGGGGAGAGAGCGGCTGCCGTTGTTGTGAGACAGAGTGCTAAAGGGCTCGACACACGGGAGGTGACGTCACTCGCTCTCCATTCATTTCCTATGGAGCCTGTGCGATGAGGCAACAATCGCTTGCCCT